GCTTGAGCTTCCACGCCTCGGAAACCCATATTGGTTGAGGATAAGCCCTCCCGGCCTCGTCCTTGCCCCCGTCTTCTTCCGCTTGAGCTTCCACGCCTCGGAAACCCATATTGGTTGAGGATAAGCCCTCCCGGCCTGGTCCTTGCCCCCGTCTTCTTCCGCTTGAGCGTCCACGCCTCGGAAACCCATATTGGCTGAGGATAAGCCCTCCCGGCCTCCTCCTTGCCTCTGTCTTCCTCCGCTTAAGCGTCCACGCCTCGGAAACCCATATTGGTTGAGGATAAGCCCTCCCGGCCTCCTCCTTGTCCTTGCCTCTCTTCTTCAGCTTGAGCCTTGCCTATTGGTTGGGGATAAACCCTCCCGGCCTTGTTCTTGCCCTTCTTCAGCTTGAGCTTCCACGCCTCGGAAACCCATATTGGTTGAGGATCTTCCACGCCTCGGAGTCCCATATTGGTTGAGGATAAGTCCTCCCGGCCTTGTCCTTGCCTCTGTCTTCTTCAGCTTGAGCTTCTACGCCTCGGAAACCCATATTGGTTGAGGAGAAGCTCTCCCGGCCTTGTCCTTGCCTCCGTCTCCTTCAGCTTGAGCTTCCACGCCTCGGAAACCCATATTGGTTGAGGATATTCTTCTTTTCTTCAGCTTGAGCCTTCTACGCCTCGGAAACCCATATTGGTTGAGGATACACTCTCCCGGCCTTGTCGTTGCCCTTCTGCAGCTTGAGGGAACCCATATTGGTTGGGGATAAACCCTCCCGGCCTTGTTCTTGCCCTTCTTCAGCTTGAGCTTCCACGCCTCGGAAACCCATATTGGTTGAGGATAAGTCCTCCCGGCCTTGTCCTTGCCTCTGTCTTCTTCAGCTTGAGCTTCTACGCCTCGGAAACCCATATTGGTTGAGGAGAAGCTCTCCCGGCCTTGTCCTTGCCTCCGTCTCCTTCAGCTTGAGCTTCCACGCCTCGGAAACCCATATTGGTTGAGGATATTCTTCTTCAGCTTGAGCTTCCACGCCTCGGAAACCCATTGGTTTGAGGATAAGCCCTCCCGGCCTTGCCTCTGTCTTCTTCGACTTGTGAGCTTCCACACCTCGGAAACCCATACTGGTTGAGGATAAACCCTCCCGGCCTTGTCGTTGCGCTTCTGCAGCTTGAGACGCCACGTCTTGGAAACCCATATTGGTTGATGATAAACCCTCCCGGCCTTGTCCTTGCCCTTCTTCAGCTTGAGCTTCCACGCCTCGGAAACCCATATTGGTTGAGGATGGCTCACCCCCGGCCTTGTCCCTGCCTCTGTCTTCTTCAGCTTGAACTTCCACACCTCGGAACCCCATATTGGTTGAGGATGAGCCCTCCCGGCCTTGTCCCTGCCCCTGTCTTCTTCAGCTTGAGCTTTCACGCCTCGGAAACCCATACTGGTTGAGGATGAGCCCCCCCCCCGGCCGTGTCCCTACCTGTGTCTTCTTCAGCTTGAACTTCCGCACCTCGGAACCCCATGTTGGTTGAGGATGGGCCCTCCCAGCCTTGTCCTTGCATAGGTACTCCGGCCTCTCCTCGCCTCCGTCCTGTTCGAGTTGAGACCACGCACCTCGGACCCGATATTGGTTGAGGACAAGTGCTCCGGCCTGGTTCCCGCCTCCATCCTCTTCAAGTTGAGACCGCGCACCTGGGACCCCATATTGCTTGAGGATAGGCACTCCGGCCTGGTCTCGGCTTCTGTTCTCTCCAGACCACGAACCTGGGAACCCATGCAGTTGAGGATAGGCGATCCGGCCTTGTCGCCGCCTCCGTCTTCTTCAGGTTGAGACCACGCGCCGAGAACGTATTCTGAGAGTAAGTCCTTCGAGCCTGTTGTCGCCTCCTCTTGAAGCTCGCCTTCTTCTGGCTTCAAGCACCTTGCACTGATGCACGCTGCGGTAGGGCGCGCACCTAGGACCCCATATCGGTTGAGGATAAGTGCTCCGCCCTCGTCCCCACCTTCACCTTCTTCGGGCCGAGATCGCGTACCTGGGACTCCACGTTGGTCGAGGATAAGCGCTCCGGCCTCGTCCCCGCCTCCGCTTTCGCACCTGGGACCCCATATTGGTTGAGGATAAGCGCTCCGGCCTCGTCCCTGCCGAGCACGCACCTGGGACCCCAGCTCCGGCCTCGTCCCCGCCTCCGCCTTCTTCGGGCTGAGACCACGCGCCTGGAACCCCATATTGCGCCGGCCTGGTCCGCGAGAGCACGCACCTGGGACCCCATATTGGTTGAGGATAAGCGCTCCCGCCTCCGAGCACGCGCCTGGAACATATTGGTTGAGGATAAGCGCTCCGGCCTCGTCGCCTTCTTCGGGCTGAGACCACGCACCTGGGACCCCATATTGGTTGAGGATGAGTGCTCCGGCCTCGTCCCTGCCTCCGCCTTCCTCCTCACTTCGGGGGAGGGAAGGGGAGGGAGGGAAGGGGGGGAGGGAGCGGGGGGACCCTCCGGAGGGGGCACCGGGTGGGGGGGAGGGGGGGGGGGGGGGGGGGGGGGGGGCAGGGGCACACCCCATTTTAGTTGAGGATTGTTTTTTGGTGTCTGCCCATTACCCCCCGTGAGACTCGTGCCACCCCCCCGGAGGAGGCACCGGGTGGGGAGGGGGAGGGAAGGGGGGAGGGTGGGGGAGGGGGCCGGGGAGGGGTGGGAACCACACCCAGTTGAGGATTGTTTTTTGGTGTCTGCCCACTACCCTCCCGCCCCAGGAGGAGAGGGGAGGGCGCTCAGGGGGAGGGGGGGCGGGGGGAAGACCCCACACCCCATTTTAGTTGAGGATTGTTCTCTCGGCCTTGTCGCTGAGACCACACACCTCGGCAACCACATAGGCTCAAGCTTCCATACCTTGGATTGTCCTTGCCTCTGTCTTCTTCGGCTTGAGCTTCCACACCTCGGAACCCCATACCGGTTGAGGATAAGCCTTCCCGCCTTGTCTCTGCCTCTGTCTTCTTCGGCTGGAGCTTCCATACCCCGGAAACCCACATCGGTTGAGTATAAACCCTCCCGGCCTTATCCTTGCCTCTGTCTTCTTCGACTTGTGAGCTTCCACGCCTCGGAAACCCGTACTAGTTGAGGATAAACCCTCCCGGCCTTGTCGTTGCGCTTCTGCAGCTTGAGACCCCACGTCTTGGAAACCCATATTGGTTGATGATACACCCTCCCGGCCTTGTCCTTGCCCTTCTTCAGCTTGAGCTTCCACGCCTCGGAAACCCATACTGGTTGAGGATGAGCCCCCCCCCGGCCTTGTCCCTACCTGTGTCTTCTTCAGCTTGAACTTCCACACCTCGGAACCCCATGTTGGTTGAGGATGGGCCCTCCCGGCCTTGTCCTTGCCTCGGAAACTTATATTGGTTGAGGATAAGCCCTCCCGGCCTCGTTCTTACCTCTGTCTTCTTCAGCTTGAGCTTCCTGGGGCCACGCACTTCGAACCCCGGCCTTGTCCTTGCCTCCGTCGTCTTTTTGCTGGGGTCACGCACCTCGGACCTCATATTGGTTGAGGCCTCGTCCTTTCTCTTTTCTCCAAGATGAAACCATGCACCTGGGACCCTATCTTGGTTGAGGATAGGCACTCCGGCCTCTCCTCGCCTCCGTCCTGTTCGAGTTGAGACCACGCACCTCGGACCCGATATTGGTTGAGGAGAAGTGCTCCGGCCTGGTTCCCGCCTCCATCCTCTTCAAGTTGAGACCGCGCACCTGGGACCCCATATTGATTGAGGATAGGCACTCCGGCCTGGTCTCGGCTTCTGTTCTCTCCAGACCACGAACCTGGGAACCCATGACAGTTGAGGATAGGCGATCCGGCCTTGTCGCCGCCTCTGTCTTCTTCAGGCCCTCCCGGCCTCCTCCTTGCCTCTGTCTTCTTCCGCTTGAGCGTCCACGCCTCGGAAACCCATATTGGTTGAGGATAAGCCCTCCCGGTCGTGTCCTTGCCTCTGTCTTCTCCTGGTTGAGGATACACTCTCCCGGCCTTGTCCTTGCCTCTGTCTTCTTCAGCTTGAGCCTTCATGCCTCGGAAACCCATATTGGTTGAGGATACACTCTCCCGGCCTTGTCGTTGCCCTTCTGCAGCTTGAGGGAAACCCATATTGGTTGGGGATAAACCCTCCCGGCCTTGTTCTTGCCCTTCTTCAGCTTGAGCTTCCACGCCTCGGAAACCCATATTGGTTGAGGATAAGTCCTCCCGGCCTTGTCCTTGCCTCTGTCTTCTTCAGCTTGAGCTTCTACGCCTCGGAAACCCATATTGGTTGAGGAGAAGCTCTCCCGGCCTTGTCCTTGCCTCCGTCTCCTTCAGCTTGAGCTTCCACGCCTCGGAAACCCATATTGGTTGAGGATATTCTTCTTTTCTTCAGCTTGAGCCTTCTACGCCTCGGAAACCCATATTGGTTGAGGATACACTCTCCCGGCCTTGTCGTTGCCCTTCTGCAGCTTGAGGGAAACCCATATTGGTTGGGGATAAACCCTCCCGGCCTTGTTCTTGCCCTTCTTCAGCTTGAGCTTCCACGCCTCGGAAACCCATATTGGTTGAGGATAAGTCCTCCCGGCCTTGTCCTTGCCTCTGTCTTCTTCAGCTTGAGCTTCTACGCCTCGGAAACCCATATTGGTTGAGGAGAAGCTCTCCCGGCCTTGTCCTTGCCTCCGTCTCCTTCAGCTTGAGCTTCCACGCCTCGGAAACCCATATTGGTTGAGGATATTCTTCTTCAGCTTGAGCTTCCACGCCTCGGAAACCCATTGGTTTGAGGATAAGCCCTCCCGGCCTTGCCTCTGTCTTCTTCGACTTGTGAGCTTCCACACCTCGGAAACCCATACTGGTTGAGGATAAACCTTCCCGGCCTTGTCGTTGCGCTTCTTCAGCTTGAGACGCCACGTCTTGGAAACCCATATTGGTTGATGATAAACCCTCCCGGCCTTGTCCTTGCCCTTCTTCAGCTTGAGCTTCCACGCCTCGGAAACCCATATTGGTTGAGGATGGCTCACCCCCGGCCTTGTCCCTGCCTCTGTATTCTTCAGCTTGAACTTCCACACCTCGGAACCCCATATTGGTTGAGGATGAGCCCTCCCGGCCTTGTCCCTGCCCCTGTCTTCTTCAGCTTGAGCTTTCACGCCTCGGAAACCCATACTGGTTGAGGATGAGCCCCCCCCCCGGCCGTGTCCCTACCTGTGTCTTCTTCAGCTTGAACTTCCGCACCTCGGAACCCCATGTTGGTTGAGGATGGGCCCTCCCAGCCTTGTCCTTGCATAGGTACTCCGGCCTCTCCTCGCCTCCGTCCTGTTCGAGTTGAGACCACGCACCTCGGACCCGATATTGGTTGAGGACAAGTGCTCCGGCCTGGTTCCCGCCTCCATCCTCTTCAAGTTGAGACCGCGCACCTGGGACCCCATATTGCTTGAGGATAGGCACTCCGGCCTGGTCTCGGCTTCTGTTCTCTCCAGACCACGAACCTGGGAACCCATGACAGTTGAGGATAGGCGATCCGGCCTTGTCGCCGCCTCCGTCTTCTTCAGGTTGAGACCACGCGCCGAGAACGTATTCTGAGAGTAAGTCCTTCGAGCCTGTTGTCGCCTCCTCTTGAAGCTCGCCTTCTTCTGGCTTCAAGCACCTGGCACTGATGCACGCTGCGGTAGGGCACGCACCTAGGAGCCCATATCGGTTGAGGATAAGTGCTCCGCCCTCGTCCCCACCTTCACCTTCTTCGGGCCGAGATCGCGTACCTGGGACTCCACGTTGGTCGAGGATAAGCGCTCCGGCCTCGTCCCCGCCTCCGCTTTCGCACCTGGGACCCCTTATTGGTTGAGGATAAGCGCTCCGGCCTCGTCCCTGCCGAGCACGCACCTGGGACCCCAGCTCCGGCCTCGTCCCCGCCTCCGCCTTCTTCGGGCTGAGACCACGCGCCTGGAACCCCATATTGCGCCGGCCTGGTCCGCGAGAGCACGCACCTGGGACCCCATATTGGTTGAGGATAAGCGCTCCCGCCTCCGAGCACGCGCCTGGAACATATTGGTTGAGGATAAGCGCTCCGGTCTCGTTCTTCGGGCTGAGACCACGCACCTGGGACCCCATATTGGTTGAGGATGAGTGCTCCGGCCTCGTCCCTGCCTCCGCCTTCTTCGACTGAGACCACGCACCTGGAACCCCACATTGGTTGAGGATAATCAGCGCTCACCTCCTCACTTCGGTCTCTTGGGGTTGGGACCACGTACCTGGGACACCATGCAGGCGAGCCTGCACGGCTTCGTTCCCGCTCCCGGCCTTCTTCTTCTTGAGGATACGCACCTGGCACTCCACGCTGGTTGCGGTCTAAGTGAGCGGGTTGGGAGGGGAGGAGGGTGGGGAGGTCACTGCCTTGCGGTGCGGGGTTCGGGGGAGGGAAGGGGAGGGAGGGAAGGGGGGGAGGGAGCGGGGGGACCCTCCGGAGGGGGCACCGGGTGGGGGGGAGGGGGGGGAGGGTGGGGAGGGGTGCGGGGGCCCACACCCCATTTTAGTTGAGGATTGTTTTTTGGTGTCTGCCCACTACCCCCCGTGAGACTCGTGCCAACCCCCCGGAGGAGGCACCGGGTGGGGAGGGGGAGGGAAGGGGGAGGGTGGGGGAGGGGGCCGGGGAGGGGTGGGAACCAACACCCCATTTCAGTTGAGGATTGTTTTTTGGTGTCTGCCCACTACCCTCCCGCCCCAGGAGGAGGGGGGAGGGCGCTCAGGGGGAGGGGGGGCGGGGGGAAGACCCCACACCCCATTTTAGTTGAGGATTGTTCTCTCGGCCTTGTCGCTGAGACCACACACCTCGGCAACCACATTGGTTTAGGCTCAAGCTTCCATACCTTGGATTGTCCTTGCCTCTGTCTTCTTCGGCTTGAGCTTCCACACCTCGGAACCCCATACCGGTTGAGGATAAGCCTTCCCTCCTTGTCTCTGCCTCTGTCTTCTTCGGCTGGAGCTTCCATACCCCGGAAACCCACATCGGTTGAGTATAAACCCTCCCGGCCTTATCCTTGCCTCTGTCTTCTTCGATTTGTGAGCTTCCACGCCTCGGAACCCCGTACTAGTTGAGGATAAACCCTCCCGGCCTTGTCGCTGCGCTTCTGCAGCCTGAGACCCCACGTCTTGGAAACCCATATTGGTTGATGATACACCCTCCCGGCCTTGTCCTTGCCCTTCTTCAGCTTGAGCTTCCACGCCTCGGAAACCCATACTGGTTGAGGATGAGCTCCCCCCCGGCCTTGTCCCTACCTGTGTCTTCTTCAGCTTGAACTTCCACACCTCGGAACTCCATGTTGGTTGAGGATGGGCCCTCCCGGCCTTGTCCTTGCCTCGGAAACTTATATTGGTTGAGGATAAGCCCTCCCGGCCTCGTTCTTACCTCTGTCTTCTTCAGCTTGAGCTTCCTGGGGCCGCGCACTTCGAACCCCGGCCTTGTCCTTGCCTCCGTCGTCTTTTTGCTGGGGTCACGCACCTCGGACCTCATATTGGTTGAGGCCTCGTCCTTTCTCTTTTCTCCAAGATGAAACCATGCACCTGGGACCCTATCTTGGTTGAGGATAGGCACTCCGGCCTCTCCTCGCCTCCGTCCTGTTCGAGTTGAGACCACGCACCTCAGACCCGGTTTTGGTTGAGGAGAAGTGCTCCGGCCTGGTTCCCGCCTCCATCCTCTTCAAGTTGAGACCGCGCAACTGGGACCCCATATTGACTGAGGATAGGCACTCCGGCCTGGTCTCGGCTTCTGTTCTCTCCAGACCACGAACCTGGGAACCCATGACAGTTGAGGATAGGCGATCCGGCCTTGTCGCCGCCTCTGTCTTCTTCAGGTTGAGACCACGCGCCGAGAACGTATTCTGAGAGGAAGTCCTTCGAGCTTGTTGTCGCCTCCTCTTGAAGCTCGCCTTCTTCTGGCTTCAAGCACCTGGCACTGATGCACGCTGCGGTAGGGCACGCACCTAGGAGCCCAGATCGGTTGAGGATAAGTGCTCCGCCCTCGTCCCCACCTTCACCTTCTTCGGGCCGAGATCGCGTACCTGGGACTCCACGTTGGTCGAGGATAAGCGCTCCGGCCTCGTCCCCGCCTCCGCTTTCGCACCTGGGACCCCTTATTGGTTGAGGATCAGCGCTCCGGCCTCGTCCCTGCCGAGCACGCACCTGGGACCCCAGCTCCGGCCTCGTCCCCGCCTCCGCCTTCTTCGGGCTGAGACCACGCGCCTGGAACCCCATATTGCGCCGGCCTGGTCCGCGAGAGCGCGCACCTGGGACCCCATATTGGTTGAGGATAAGCGCTCCCGCCTCCGAGCACGCGCCTGGAACATATTGGTTGAGGAAAAGCGCTCCGGCCTCGTCGCCTTCTTCGGGCTG